TATTCTTATTCTGGCTCGCAAAATCCCGTCGATTTTTTTCGTTAAGTTTCTGAATTGAGATATTTAAAGTTAAGCACATATTAAACTGTACTTAACAGGTTTTCGTTTCTGATTTTAGTTTTTCTAATGATCAAATTAATAGCAGTTTGATTAAATTAAGACGGTTTGACTTGTGAAACGTAAAAAACTTAAATTATTGAGAATATCAGTTAGATAATCAGTTGAGATTTTGTACTTTTCTCAATTCATTAACCGGCCTATAATTTATTTCCTATACAGATTTGTACATAACTTTTGTTCTTGTAGTCTTTAGTATTTTAATGTTAAATGACCTCATAATCTAATGAAGTTGTTGCTGTAATACAGTTAATGTTCCTAAATATTAATATAGATTTAATAATGGCATGCTTTTTATATTAATACATCATTATTTTCATTCATTCTTACCAGCAAAAAAGAAAAAGGTTGGTCGGTTCAAAAGTACTTTTATTGGATCGATTTGAATTAAGAATATTTTGTATAACGGCTTTTAGGGAGCACAACTTCAGGTTGTCTCTGGAGATGTTCACGGGCATGCCGCTGTCAGTGTCGGCTCAACTACAGATCAACTTGTTAGTGCGACACGTGCCGGGTCTCACGTGAGTATACAAGCATCGTTAATGAATTACATACTAGTTCATTATTACACCATTACATTTCTACTTCTATACGTAATTTTATTTGCATTTTAATCATCCAAATTATATTTTAGCTTTTTTCCTTCGACTTCGCGTAAATTTTATCTTGGCTTCTCATAGGTGAAAGAAATTTTAAAGTGGGACCTGTATTCAATGCAAACAAACAAAAAATCAAATTTTTCCTCATTATAATATAAGTACAAAGGATTGATTCAAACACTGATTTTTAGTCAAGGCCAACTGTGGCCTTAAGGTAAAACTGCCACTGGTTATAAAACACTTTCTTTATCTTTCAGTTGCAAAAATATTATTTAAAATGAAGATTACTTTTTTTGACCTGTCGGAGAGTTTTTTCTTTATATTATTATAATTAACATAGGAAAAACATATTTAAATGATTTGTATAAGAAAGTACAGTAACTAATTTTTTTTAGTAACGTGATGGCCCTTCTTATGGTACTACAACTATACTATACTATATATTGCTACGACCACTATATTAAACCATAAGAAAAAAATGACAACAGTTAAAAACAAGTTTGTATAAAAGTCTCCATACCGACCAATAAGAGTTTAATATCTTAAGAATGTTTAGATCTTATTGAAAGATTGAATTTATAAAATTTTATAATTGTTACTCTTTCGGATTAACATGACACCTGGGCATATTCTATTTGACCTCAAACGATTATTCGAAAAATTTCGTATCGTTTATATAATTTTGTTAAAATAACATTCACGGAAATTATCTGTACCTCAGAGGCAGTGCCAGGTCTTACCTAGATTTCATCGTAAATCATCATATATTCAAAATATACGAAATTAGGTTTTCGGAGAAACAGAATAGGCCTTCACTTCAGGTTTCATGTCAATTGGGATGATGATGATGATGGTAAACAAAAACAAATCCTATTTAGTCCGTCAGTCAGATAATAGCGAAATATTAGATACGTTTTTTTTTACTTCAATTTAATAAGAAATAGCTTATACTCCATTCATTATAACATTAGAAAAAAGAGGATCACAGAAGCAGCAGTGCACAACATTTTATTTTAAAGATAATTTTAAAAAATATATATAATAGTTTTGTTGAAACTTTGAACGTTAAGTAGTCTGAAAGAGTTGGGCAATTTTCCATTTTCTTTTGCGATGAGGCTAGAATTTTCTATATTCATCTTTTACTCCCAAGCCAATATGGAACTATAACTATGTATCTGTTGGTTTGATAATTTCCAATTGTAAGTGTATAATTAGAATATAATTTAGATATATTTATGCCCAGGAAAGAAAGGTAAACAAAATGAAATATTTATTATTACTTTTATAACATTTATTCAGATATTATTAGATTATTGATTAAGATATTGGAAAAACTTCCTGAAATGTCAGAGATGATTGTTGTAGGCCATTCGGACCTGCACCGGAATCGTCCATATTTAGCAAAACTTAACTTTAAATAGATAACAACTAAAACAAAACTATAAGAGAACAACAAAAATACAATAACAACTCAATCACGAAATACGATAAAACAACAAGAAAGGCAATAACATTCACAATTAATGGAAATCCCAGATTACGTATTTTGACTATTATAATATTTTATCAATACATCATATCTGTCAAAATTAAAAAAGCTGTACTACGGAAACGATTGAAGGGATTAGGGAACGTTTTAAATTTGGTAGAGTAATAGTGACATGAGAATCGTGCCGAGACTATCCAACCCTGCATCTCTAGGTTCTTTAAGATGAACACTTTTTATTGTAAAAGTTATTAAATCTTTTAAGTTATTCAAATACTCATAATTTTGTTTAACAGGTAACTTAAACGACAACTGTTAAGTAAAGCAGCTGGTATTTAAGTGGATATGTAGCAAATAAACCGTCAGTCTTAAGAGTAACATGATTGTTAATATTTTGTCACAAAGTATACCATAAAAAGAACCTAATTTAACTTCTGTCTAATGCTATAATGAATGGAGTATGTCGTGACGTCATGTAACATTTTTACTCGAATGTATTGCCGTAATTTAAAGAAATAGTGTTAAATATTTTTCAATAATCTACTTGATGGATAACCAAAAAAAAAAAAAAAACAATCCCTATTTGTAAAAGTAGTAATTGTAATTTATTAATTTCTCTTTCAGGATCAACAATCAGTTGCCGGACGGTGACACGCTGGTGCCGATGTTCTGGTTCCGTCAGGAGGCGGTGATGACTCCCGAGTATGCCCGCATGGCGCGGACCGCTCTACGGCTTAGATACTGGACGCCTGTAGCCTTCTACGTGCTCACAGTGAGTATGCCCGCATGCGGGACCGCTCTACGGCTTAGATACTGGACGCCTGTAGCCTTCTACGTGCTCACAGTGAGTATGCCCGCATGCGGGACCGCTCTACGGCTTAGATACTGGACGCCTGTAGCCTTCTACGTGCTCACAGTGAGTATGCCCGCATGCGGGACCGCTCTACGGCTTAGATACTGGACGCCTGTAGCCTTCTATGTGCTCACAGTGAGTATGCCCGCATAGCGCGGACCGCTCTACGGCTTAGATACTGGACGCCTGTAGCCTTCTACGTGCTCACAGTGAGTATGCCCGCATGCGGGACCGCTCTACGGCTTAGATACTGGACGCCTGTAGCCTTCTACGTGCTCACAGTGAGTATGCCCGCATGCGGGACCGCTCTACGGCTTAGATACTGGACGCCTGTAGCCTTCTACGTGCTCACAGTGAGTATGCCCGCACGAGGGACCGCTCTTCGGCTTAGATACTGGACGCCTGTAGCCTTCTACGTGCTCACAGTGAGTATGCCCGCATGCGGGACCGCTCTACGGCTTAGATACTGGACGCCTGTAGCCTTCTACGTGCTCACAGTGAGTATGCCCGCATGCGGGACCGCTCTACGGCTTAGATACTGGACGCCTGTAGCCTTCTACGTGCTCACAGTGAGTATGCCCGCATGCGGGACCGCTCTACGGCTTAGATACTGGACGCCTGTAGCCTTCTACGTGCTCACAGTGAGTATGCCCGCATGCGGGACCGCTCTTCGGCTTAGATACTGGACGCCTGTAGCCTTCTACGTGCTCACAGTGAGTATGCCCGCATGCGGGACCGCTCTACGGCTTAGATACTGGACGCCTGTAGCCTTCTACGTGCTCACAGTGAGTATGCCCGCATGCGGGACCGCTCTACGGCTTAGATACTGGACGCCTGTAGCCTTCTACGTGCTCACAGTGAGTATGCCCGCATGAGGGACCGCTCTTCGGCTTAGATACTGGACGCCTGTAGCCTTCTACGTGCTCACAGTGAATATGCCCGCATGAGGGACCGCTCTTCGGCTTAGATACTGGACGCCTGTAGCCTTCTACGTGCTCACAGTGAATATGCCCGCATGAGGGACCGCTCTACGGCTTAGATACTGGACGCCTGTAGCCTTCTACGTGCTCACAGTGAGTATGCCCGCATGCGGGACCGCTCTACGGCTTAGATACTGGACGCCTGTAGCCTTCTACGTGCTCACAGTGAGTATGCCCGCATGCGGGACCGCTCTACGGCTTAGATACTGGACGCCTGTAGCCTTCTACGTGCTCACAGTGAGTATGCCCGCATGCGGGACCTCTTTACGGCTTGGTTATTATCATGGTCATTATGATATTTGATATGTCGGATTTCAAGCGGCTTTTGTGAAGGCACCGGAATCTTCTTTGGTACTTACTCCTTCAACTCGGGTTCCAAAATAGGTTTTTGCCTCCATCATCACAGTAAACAGTGAAGTTCCTTTAAGTGCCGACATCACTCGACCTCTTCTCGCGAGCCTTCGTGACGTTTGAATAACTTTTTGAAAGACAACCCTTGTTAAGATTCTCACCGGTTATTCTCAGTACATGGTCTACGTAGATTTGTTAGCAGACGGTATAGTTTTCTTTCTTTTTTTTTTCATCATTAAAACACCATACCAAAGTTGTAAAACAAAGTTCAGCTCACTTGGATTTTTTTACAGGTTAAAGTTTATATCGACATATGTTTTTTTTTCTTTAATGCTCCCCTTAAAAACATAATCACAATTAAGATTAATCAAACACAATAAAAGCTAAATTTTCATATCATCGTTAGTGGTATTTTTTTTTTTTAATTTCATATTATTATTATATTTAATCAATTCTGCATTCACGATGCTATACTCAAAAATATTCTTAACAAGAAATGGTTAAAAATCCACTTTGTCCCCGGCGCTCTGAGATGGGACTCAAATCCATGACCTTTCGCAATACGGGCGACTGCTCCAACCATTGAGGTACCCAGGACCCCACAAGACCGATGA